ACAGGATGCACACCACCACTGGGTGAATTGGTGAATTGCACATTGGCTCAGATTTGCTGAGTTAGCAAATTGCCATGCCTGGAAAACTGAGCATTTAATGCTAATTTTGGACTTTAAGACTTTAACTATTATTCAACACATTTGGTAAAGAGCTTCAATCCAGCCTCATCTGACAATCACTTCACATTTTCATATAGAGCTGAAACAGTTGTTTGGAGTAATCCATTATTGAAATATTCTTCAACTAATTTAGTAATCAATTCATCGTTAACTGGAGTATAGAGACTGTAAACATGTCTTTAGCTGACAGGGAAACCCACTTAGAGCAGTAATTATACCAAAATTGTAAAAATATATATAAATATTTTGAATTTAAGATAAAAAAAAATAATGTTTTCTTCTGTCAGTATGCTCTATCCAGAACTCCACAAGTGGAAAAGTTTTAATTTCATCTGGTGTAATGTAGGAAAAAGTTTTCTTAAGGAAACTTTGTTAATCAGGTTATTAATCGATTAATTAATTAATCAATTGACTAAATTTTCGTTAGTTGCGACCCTATATTCATGTAGATATTGTTGGCTATGAATATTGATTTAAATGAAGGTAGAAACATTATCTGTATGAATAGAAACTTTTTAGTTCGGTTTTGAATCATTGAAGAAATTTTGCGGTCCTTTTGTGGTCTGGAAAGAACCTTATAAGGTTATTGAATTCTATGTTAAGCAAAGTGTTTGGACCTTGTAAACTATTTAGAGTTTAGAAGCCACTTGTTTAAATCTATATCGTTCTTTTATGAGATTTGACGTAAAAGAAAAGTGTGAGTTGAACTTTAGTGCTTTACATTTTTTACAGCATAAAGCAAATTTAAACACGAATATGAAATCCTCCTTTAAATTCACAGATTTAAATAAAAACCAGAAGGTTTAAATTAAGGATTTATATTTCGCACAGATGAATCATGTACCTCATTTCCAGGTCTGCGTTTGAGGCAGTTGGGGTTGAATTTGTTGACGTGAAGCACATGAATGGCACATTTAATGCTGAGATGGTGCAGCTGGCTGGTCACTTTGAGGAACAGAAGGTCATTCTAAGAAGGCAAAGAGCAAAATAAGAGCAGGAAGAACGAACGCAAAGAGACGCCATCCAGCTTTATCTCAGTGAAACTCACCACGGTGAGGTACTGCAGCATCTGTCCGTCCACTCTCCCATCGTTAAACTGGTCTTTGTACTGGGGGAGGCCAATGTCATCGAGCCAACCTGGAAAAAAAACGCACAGAGAGGATTTAATGAGGAAAGTCCTCAGAAAAACCTCAATACGACAGAGTAGAGATCACGTACGAGTGACCCAGATGTAATCGAGCTCTGCTGATTTTTCCTGCTGTTTGCTGGAGACGTTCTTTAAGGACAGCTGGAGCTTCTTCCTGTGGAGGGGGTTTTTCATTGACAGCTCCTGAAGACAGACAGAAAAACCCACACAAACAGATTATCTGAGAACCAAAGCGCAGTCAGAGTGATTTGACTAATTATTATGATGCTTATAAAAGAGACAGAAATGTCATTATTAGTTGTAAAATTCCCATTGATGGGGGCGCAACTAAAGAGCCGTCTGAAAAGCAGAGACAGGCGTAGTTAAATATCAGACTGACAGAGAAGCAATAAGCTGAAAATTACACGGATACACCTGCAGACATCTTAGATTGCCCTAGATATGAAATGAAAAAAAGCTGAGGAGAAGATGCACACAGACAAGTAAACATGCAGTTGACATAAATGGCTTTGGAAAAGCAGAAAATCTAAAAGGAATACTTGTGTGTGCCGTACCTTCTCTAGGTCGTGAGGAGCAGCCGCGAGCAGAGTCTGACCGCTGCTGACCCACTGCTGAGCGAGGAGGGCATATTGACCGAGTCCGATGTCCTCAAGCCAGTCGCAAACCTGCTCGGTGTTCCACTTAGAAAATGGCAGCTTCAGATCTCTGATTATATGGAAGGGAAGAGAAGCCAAAGTTAAAACCAGAATAAAATAGAAAGTTTAATCTATCACCCAGTGGCGGCTGGTCAATAGAGGGCGCTAGGGTGCCGCCCCACCCACCCAATGACCCTGATTAAGACATAAAAAAAATATAGATATTTTTCTAATTTAATTTTAAATTAAAATGTTAAATATTTTGATATATATTTTTTAGATGTTCAAGATAAATAAACTTTAATGAGGAGTAAAGCATCACATAATTTTTCGTCGGATTGATGAAGCATTTCCGCCCTACGGCGCAAAAATCTTTGCCCATCGACTCCCGTTAAAAGTTTTACACGCGCAGTAGCTCCTGTGCAATACAAAGGTATAGGAGAGCTCGGGGCGAAGGAGATCTGCACCCTGGGGTGACAGGAAATGAATTTGCTCACCACCTCCCGCTTCAGTGGAGACGTTTTGCAGATGATTGACATGTCAAGTTGTGGGAACTGGAGACGCATTGGAGAGAGAGGGAGAAACATGGCGCAAGAAACATCCTTTTCCAGGACCTGGTTTAGCTACAAGGCTTGGCTAACTGCATGCAGCGAGGCTAATGCTTTATTCCGCCTGCATTCTTTTTCAAACATCAGGATCTGACCCAGCATGGATAAAGACAACTAGGACTGATTTAAAATGAATGAAAATGCAACAGATTGGTGATCCTCTAAAATTCTCATGATTACCTCTCTATATTTATTTCTCTCTCTGTATGTGAAAAATGTTCTTTGAGTTTAGATCTAAATTGTCTTGTTCCATTCGCAAAATGTCTCTTTTATGTCAAAAATTCTAGAACAAATGCACTTATTTTAAGAAAAAATTACTATCTAGATTTCCATTTCTTCCAGTGCAATGATTGTGAAATCCATCTAGTGACCCCCTGCTGGGTGTCTTGTGACATCTGGGGGTTCCCGGCACTATTTAGGGGATCCCTGGGTTCCCTAAATGTATGCATGAGTGTGATACACCAGAACCAGGATGAATCCAAACCTCTGGGTTGAAACATCGAATCTATACCAGTTATAAATTTTAGGAATGAGATTATGTCGTCTCCATGCAACACTTTAACTTGTTTTCACTTCAGTATTTTAAGAATCATCATTATAAATGAAACATGGACCCGATAAGAAAGTTGATAAGCGTGATGTTGTACCGTGTTTTCCCTGGACGGGCCAGCCTCGGCCCAGCTGTCGCTCTGAAGCCTCCTCTCTTGAAGTCTCCCAGCTCCGGATCATGAAGCTGAACTGGGCTGCCCGACTGACTGCGGCGAATCCTCCACACAGCAGAGACACTTCATTTCTATTTGTCCATTTTCTACATCCAGATTTACTTTGAGAGAATAATCGGAGGTTGGATTCTTACCGTCCCCAGAGTTTTTTAATGCCTCTGTGGTTCTTCCTTTTCTCAGGAGAGACAGGCGACTGTTGTCCTGAGTCCAGTCCAGAGGATAGCGGGGACTGATCCGATAGCATACGCTCCTCAAGCTCCGCCGGATGGTCTGACAGAAATAAAGAAAAGAAGAATTCAATCAATTTTCGTTTCAGTTGATTATTTTTACTTGGACTGAACAAAAAAGAACATCTCATGCTCTGAAGAGAAGACAAAAGATTGAAGACAATAACCTGCAACAAAATTCAAGGGCTGTCCATCGTCTACTTTTTCTAAGTAAAGTAAAACATTTAAACACATTAATTCTGTAAACAAACTTCAGATCGATGCTGAAAGTGAAAATGAACCAACTGAAAACAAGGGAAAAAAAGATCAGGATGAGATGCAATATGACCATGCTAACAGAAACCAGCAACAAACAGAAAAACACGATAGAAAAAATTATGCCTAATAAGCTAAATCCTCAAAGTAACAGAATTGCACTTCAAATATGCAAACAAACAACAGCAAAGATGTGCAAAGCATTCAACCAGACTCAAATTAACAAATTAAATAAAAACCACAGCCTTCATTTAGGGGGTCATGCATGTAGAAAGCATGCTAAATATAAGGTAGGTAAAATCGAAGGCTTCAGTGTGCAAACATTTAGACAGTTTTACCACCAGCATGAACAGGATCTGAAGGGGAATGTCAAGAAACCACCTGTTTTGCAACTTTTCCTATTGGTCATCTTTTTCCTTTAGCTCAGTTTTTAATTGCCGGTTTTTAAAAACTGGTTCGCCTCCATCAACTTAAACACAACACCCCCATCACTCCAAGCAGATTTCCTCCGCTACTTTTGGTTTACAGACTCTTTGTTGGGTTGAAATGCCGTACCCACCAACATTATAGAGGTCATGTTTCCCCGGAGATCCTGAGACCGAGGCGGTAAGCGCAGCGAGAAGAGAGCAGAGGCCAGCGTTAATCACGTACTTCATCTTTAAAATAAATGCTGAGCAAATGCTGCTTTTTTCCACAATTATGACAAGCACATCTATAAGCCTCTGATTGGTACAAGCAGCTCGTTTTCTCACAGTTTTAGAACGGAGTTAAAAGCTGCAACCACTAGTATTGAAGTCTAAGGGAAGCAGCAGTTTCGATCGTTGCATTTCCGAATTCTCCCGAGTGGTGCACGACTTTACACAACTGAATAAAGTGAATGTGATTGGTCGTATATCAAGGGGGCGGGATTGTTGTGGCGGAAGGTTCAGAAGCAAGTTTGGTTGTAGCCGGTTTTTCTAAAGCATCTTGCTAACCAGTTAGCATCTTAGTGCTAGCAGGTTCCCAATGGTAAATTCCATTGGGACCAAGTAGCACTAAATTGGTGACTTAGAAACGATGTTGTCAAGGAACGCTATGGACAGCGGAAACATGCAAGAGGAGGAGAGTTTAGTGTCGGAGGTCGTGGATGAGTCTCCTCCTGTGGAAGCTCATTGGTAGAATTCCCTTATGACAGAAAAAAGGACACTTGAACACGATTCATATCATTTTATCCTCCGGAGGGGGGAAACATTTATTTAAATTCCGAATTCCTACTGCTGTTTTCAACACTTCATAAATTCAGCGCTACATTGTCAGACATCTCAGTTTTCTCCCCAACTCTCATTTCATCTCAGGCTGTTTTATAGTCACAATATTGCATTACGTAGATGCACATGCACAACAGAATATTGTCGAAATTTTACTGGAATTCATGTGTGCTGGTCGAAGCCAGAGTTTGCTCTGACACTGGAAAGAATGTTTATACTGACGTTCTCTGTTTATGCCAAAACCTCTTAATATATCATCTAACTGCGTACGAATCGGCCATTAGGGACCTGATCATTGCTAAGACTCATACTTGACCTTCAGCATGTACTGCTAGGATTATAAGGCAACAAATAAGGATATATAAGGCAGTACAGCTGCTTCTATATTTGGCGAGCCAGCCAGAATATTCTACACTCAATCATACAATTTTTTTTATTTAGAGGAGGAAAGCGGGGACGAAGATGTTGTGGAAGAGGACGCCAGGGCGGCAGAAGCTTGGTTTGGTGTAGAAGGCTTCCAGCCGTACATGTTTGAGCCCTTGCCTCGCAACGCTGCCAGTTCTGTTAGCTCTACGCCTGCCGAAGACACAGCCGTCCATCCCCGTGAACACTGGGACGCAACTTAATGGGAAAGGAAAGGATTCTGATTTCAATCGTTGCGTATATTAGCTGCGACTTAAGACATATACATAAGTTGATATATGATTGGCCGAATTTAGGTGTACGAGCTGACGTACAACTAACTAGCCTGCATAAAATAACGATTTTAAGACAGGGTTTTAATTTAAATAGAAATTTTCTAACTTTTGGGACAATATGGTCTGATAAAACTACATTTATACACATGTTTAAGCCAGAATGATTTAAAATTTAAATATTCAGTTTCACTTCTGTTTATTTCTGGACTTTCTTTAAACTGACCTACAGAGCAGACTGCATGAGGACAGGAAACAGAGAATTAAGTTCATGTAACATTTGTTTATGTTGGTTCCCTATACAAGCACATTGTATTAGTGTGTACTCCTCATCCTCTCATGCATCCCCTTTGATTCCCCTCCTACTTTAAGCTCTGGTTTCATAAGGACGGAAACAGTGTGCTGGCTATGAGCTTATAGCTTCAACTAAAAAGTTTTAGCAAATGCTGATGTCAGAGAAAGAGCCAGGGTTTATCTTAAAGAGCCCTCTTGAGTCATGAGGGAGTCCTACTAATCCTGGCTTAATCCTCAGTGATCCTCGGGGAAAACGTTCACCCAACCTGACTCTGCTCTATTTGGAGGCTTTACCCTGACATGGAAAATCCTGTTTCCTTCGGCAGCTAATGCTGTTTTTGTTTCCCTGACTTCAGCACAGGAGCGTCAGTGTTTTGGATCAATTCTTCTGGATGAATAATGACCTTTGAGTCTCTGTGAGGACATACAGTACCTAAAGCTGGAGCGCTGGCACTCCTGCACCGAACTGTTGTCAGAACACGAAAAAGAACAATCCGTGAGCAAAGATGACAGAGGAAAGAAACAAAGAGCAAAAACATGAAGCAAGTGAGGCACAGTAGGTTAAAAAGACATATTCAGAACTTAAAATGAGCCTTCATGTTAAACTCTTGGCAAACATTTGTTATGGAGGCCATATTGGCTTTACTCAGGTTAGTTGGGTACTGACTTGGCCTGAGCTTAACAATGGACTTCCAACAATACAACACCCCCTTTGTTTTTCTAAATACACCTCGAAATGGTAAAGTTAAATGGGTCAGATATTCATTTTAAGATAATCTGGTTAAATTCAAAGACAACGACTCACATGAGTCCCACTTTGCACTGAGTTGCTGGCATCAGACCTTAATAAGTCATTACAATCCCATTTGGGGGCCTTTATCGGCTCTAGCCTGGCCAGCCAGACTGACTTACACCATGTTCACCACATATCAGGATGGAAAGAAGCAGGTAGAGCCTAATTTCAAATGATGTGGCACAAAAACATCTTTAGAAAAGAAAAGCGTTTACAGCAGCCAGTTAAATTAAAAGATATCTATATATATATAAACCTTGCTCTGTTGCAGCTGCAAACTTGACTGTTGCAGTTACAGAAAAGCCCTGTTGCATAATGGGCCCACTTGCCGTGCTGTGATTGGTCCAGTCAGTTTTAGACCACACAGTGTTTTGCTGTACCAGACTGACTTATGCTTCCCAGTCAGTTTATCTGGCCAGGCTATATCTGACCCACTTTCTAACAAAAAAGCAAAAATTAAAAAGTCCTTATTTTCTTCAATAAAATCATCTAACCTTACGAAATAATTTCATCCAACGTTATGACAAAAATAAACTTGCCAGCTTAGCCAACTTTAAATGAGGAAAGCTAGCTAGGTGTGTTTCACTGATAGAGATCATCCCTAATAAACCAACATGGTGGAATTATGGATCAAAAAGGTCTAATGTGTCCCAAAATGAAACAATGGTGCCTGTATGTCTAATAACAAACTTGATTATGCTATTATATCAGTCACAACTAAAATATGAACTTTTAAATCAGTATGAGGGACATGCAGCTACATTACGATTGGTACACTGGAAAAAACTAAGTCATTTTTTTTTTAAATAAGTGCATTTTTTCTTGAATTGAGGAGGTAAGTAAGAAACTTTGCCAATGGAACAAGACCATTTAAAATTAAAATAAGAAAAAAAAAAAAAACTGAATTGTCTTATTTAAAGTGCATATTATCTATTTATCTTATTTTAATATAAGTGTGGAAATATACTCATTCCACTGGCAAATCATCTTATTTTTCTACTCAAATTAGGGGTAAATACGCTCAATTTAAGAAATGTTGACTTATTTCTAGATTGTTTTTGCAGTGTAACTAGGAGGGCTGGGATGCAGACTAATAAACAAATGTTTGGTTATACAACAATGTCCCACTCTTCATTCTGCAAAATAAGAGCTAGCATTTAAAAATAAAAACCTTTTCTACAACCGACTTTTCACAAATATGTAAAATCAAATGGGAAAAAGATACATATTTAATATATATAAAAACATATATATTAGTTAATCAATGTATTTAATGCAAAAAAAAGGTTTATTTAATAATTTTCAATATCTTACAGTATTGAAAGCTGTTTACCAAAGCCATTATGAAAAAGAAATACAATATTTGTATGAATATAAACTAAACAATGAAGAACAACAAAACAGAATATTTGCATATTTGCTTCAGTTGTAATTCAGAATGTAAGGTTAATCAGTGACAGCTTATCTAGTTCAACAGCCTACATGTGATGCTTTTCATAACAGAGCCCTAAATTAGGCGTAAGCCTGTTGGGAAGAAACCCGAAATTACTTTTCTGAGATAAAATCTGCGTCCACTTCAAGATGACGTCGCCTCATCAAAGAGATATTTAACGCTATTTTATCAAGTAGGCGACTCTATAATGAGATTTAGAGCCATCTAGAGGAATATGTGGTGGATTCTTTACCTTTAAATGCAACACTACAGTATGCTGTGTCTGTTTTGGTTTCTTATTTACATTTAGGGTAACACAGAAAATAGAAAAATCTAAAACATATAACACCAAATATCAAATAAAATAGCTCCCATTAATAGTAAGTCGAAATTATAAAAAGAATAAAATAGCTGTATTATTTGTACATACGGAAAAAAAGTCGGAAGGAATCACAGAATACGCGGATTCACAGAGTTCTGTTTATTTCAGACATGGTGACCATAAAACCTGCTTATCAGCTGAACAATAAAGTTAATAAAAAAAGAGATTTAAAAATACTCACTCAGGGTGTACTCTCTGCTGTGGGACGGTGAGAGCTGGACGGGGGATAAATATTCGGTGTCTCTGCCTCTAGGGCCGTTCAGCTCTTCTTTGGGTTCTTTCTTTTTACTCAGTTTCCCTGGCAGAGTTTGATACTTGCTCAGCTCCATTTGAGGACTCTGCAAAAGGTTAAAAATCTAATATTATTAAGCCATCCTTTGCAGCAAAACTGTATATAATAACTTCTAACCCGCCACATAAAATTAGTTGCTACTAAGTTTACAAACATAGTGTGTCTCTAAAATGACCCTCATGATTGCCATTTTAAATTTATCCAGCTCTGATATTCTGTTAAAAAAAGCATTTTTATTATGAATCTAAAACTGTGTTTGGAGTCCCTCTGTCATAAGCTAGGTGGGTGGTAATGATTTGGAATGCCCTTTCGCCCCATTGCATAACAAAATGTCCTGTAGAGGGTGAATCTCTGACGATGCAAGAATCTGAACAGGCATCAAAGTCAGCGGGTGGGGGGGCGGGGGGTCCGTAGGAACGACTGGAGAAAGGCCAACAGACAGGAAGTGCTCAGAGGCAGAGATGATGCCGAGCGCTACAGACAGCCACTTCAGGTAGGTCTGTTCCTTTTTGTTGGTGTGTGCAAAACCTGTGTGTATGAATTTATTTTTTCTCCCCTTGTAGATGCCAGGCATTGGAAGCATTAGATTATTTAAAAAGAAGAAGGGGGTGGGGGGGCAATCAGGTTACATTTGGCACATTTCAGCTAAATAGAGACCAGAAGGTCAAAGTGCAGCTGAACTGTCTCCTTACAATGTTTTTATCACAAGTTGCATTTCAAATAGATAGTAGGCTGCCTCACAGTTCAGCTTTTCTTTTTTTTTTGTCTCTGTTGAAATTATTTGCAGCTATAAACAGTAAAAAAGAAATATATATATATATATATATATATATATATATATATATATGTACAGAGAGAGAGAGAGAGAGAGAGAGAGATGAATATAAACCTTATTTTATGCAACTTATAGAGTTGCATAGAGAAATAAAGTGGTAAGAGATTTACGTTTTATGCCAAAAGAAAAAGTAAACTACATCAGTTCTTTTGAAAAATTATTATTTAGAAAATATGAGCATGCTAATTTAAATGTGTATTCTTAATAGTAGTCTATTAACAATCACACTTTTAGCTGCAAAATGTACATGTATAGAATGTACAGTTATATGAGAAGGCTTTGTGGCTCATATCTTTAAATGCAGCAATAAAAGCTCTCAGTGTCAAACAAGAAACCATAAAAAAAAGCAATTATTAACCATGGAAAACTAGTTATTAAGACAACTTTAAAAGATTACAGTATATGAAATCAATGTTGCGCAATATGTTGTTTTTTTATGCCTTATTTATGAAATTAAGAAAAATCTGAACTTTTTTGTTCCTACGCAGCATAAAATAGGTTTATACTCAGCGAGGCATCAAAACTGAAGCAGAATAATGAGCCGGAATGTGTTTAAGCTTCTTTTTTCAAGTAGCTTTCCCCTCTAAAGCTTTGATCTATAATGCGCATCTATGAAGCCTGTGGTGCAGGGATGCATGTGCACATGCAGCAGATCAGTACCTCTGCCCCTACGTCTGATTCAGTTTCAACTGGCTGGATCTCTACAGCCTAAAAGCAAAAGAAAGAGAAGAGAAACAGGAAACATGCAGAAATGGAGAATTAGCAGGTTAGCCTCCCCAAAGCTTGAAGAGCATGGATGAAGTTAGCCCCTCTTTTACAAAGGATTAAAACCTCACAGGGATGTTTTAAAAATGTAAAATCAAATTAGCCAAAACATGGATGATTTATTCAGACTAGCATAAATGCAGCAGTCCTCTTTACGCCTGACAGAGCTGTGAAATTTCACAGTAATTGTGTTTTGTTGTGAAATGTAACCTCTACAATAGCATATATTGCTTAGCCTTTTTCTAAGCCTACAAACTCATAATGCAAACGCAACACAGGGAGTACTTGAAGGGATTTATTAAAATGATTCACTTCAAACAATCCACACTTTAAATACAGTGCTATTATAAAGCGGAATGGATTGCTCTCCCCTCTAGAGCACAGTTTATAGCACAATGAATGACGCACACAGCTCCAAATTGTGCCCACGCTAGTGTAGGCTGACTTCTGGACAATTGATGAAAGTTAAAATCGGTGAAAAGAAGCCCTGGCATAACAATGGGCAATGAAGAAAAGAGGAAGACAAGGTCTAGTGGTGGCAAATAAAGTTTATGATGAAAATGTTCATATTTTGGCTCAGAGCCGCAGTTTAATTGTTTAGTGATCAATGTAAAGGATTTTACATTTCATTTCATTTTCCCTTCCTTCCTCTGTATGCCTGACACTGAATAGCTAATGAACAGTGGCAGGGATTGCTGTTCCACATCAAAGCTAAAATTATTGGTTTCTGTACCTTAACCTTTAGTTTCATGCTTAATACAGAAGGTAAATCCAAATCCGCTTCAGGGGGCCTCGCTGTTTGTTGAAAAGTTAAGGTAGAGGTGCTGTATCCTCCAAGCAGATGGGGATATTATAAAGAAGTGTTGAAATCAACAAGCATTGCGTTAACTTAATCGATGAAGCAAGAGAAATCCCATTATCCAGGTGCTAAGAAAAATTGTATATAAGCATCATGCCTGCTTTTATTTTCCCAATCCGGCTGCACTGAAAGGTTTTGGAGGACTTGGCTGTCGGTTTTAATCCAATGTGAACAGGGCTTAGATAGAGCTCAGTTAATGTTATAAAGAAAGATATTTAAAGGTACACTATGCAACCGGTGTTGATTTT